TATTAAGGTATGTTTGTAAATTTAATCGCTACTGCATAATTTGTGAACAAATGCAACGTATAACAACGTAATTTGTATCAGGTTTTATATCATTACACCCGTTTAAGTCCTTCGGTTAGGTCCTTCGGTCCTTCGCGGTCCTTCGTTTTAGTGAGTACCGGCGCGTTCACCCATTTCAACAAAAAAGTCAATTTATTTCCACGCGGCTGTCATTTATTTAGTAACTGTGATTTGTTGTGTTTTTAATTATTATTTTATAGTGATCACTATAGTCTAATGTTTAGAATGTCAGAATATGTTCTCTTTTATTTTAATTTTGAAAGTTTTACTCAGACGATCGATGAAATAAAACAGTGTAGTGACGTGCCTAGTAACCTGCTAAATAACGAGATAATTCCGACGTCAAATTCTATTTTGTTCAGCGACAGTGTACAAACGTGCGCCGGTGTCGGTGACGATCACGGTTACCAGCTACACCAGAACGGACATATTTCGCATCTAACTCAACCCCATGCAACAAAAATTGATACTATGTGTTCATTATGGTCCATTCTTCCTCGACGAACAAGTACGTTAGTGACAATTTAGTCAAAGACGAGAAAACTGCACAAGAAATTTGCCTTATTTACACGTATCGGCAATGCAAGCTGTCATGCGACTCCCCTTCTGACGTCACAAGGGGAATTTCTGTATGCAAATGAGAAGCTAATGAGGAGCCTCGTTTTAAAATACACAAAAATAAAGTTGCCGTAGAGTTTAAAACACATTTTTCACTTAAAAAAAATAATTCATGCTTAGAAACATAAAAATTATTAATATTTATGTATCAAATGATAATTTTAGGCGTGAAAATAGCAGCCATTTCACAGGCACTTTAATGTGGAAAATGCTTTATACGATTACAAAATATAAGATCTTTGTACAAATTACGGATGAATAAAATAGCTGATTACAATTTACACCTTGGCCATGTCTACGAATTTGTGTTTTTTATTATAACATGCTTCTGGAGATTAGTGTTCTGCTTGTAAATAAACTAAGAGTTTCTGTAAACACAGGCTACAAGTGATTATTAGCATATACACCCCAATAAACAATTGGCCAGGACAAACGGCATACTGTTTGTATTTGAATGACTTGTATCTTTTTAGTTTGAAATCAATCTATAAAAAAAGGCCATAGAGTTTTTGTTCATCAAAGAATATTGAATTCACTTTCTAGCATCTTTATTAGAAAAATATTAGAAACTTGTAACAATCAATAAATACATGACCAACATGACATATTGTTCAGGGCTTTTTGTGCTGATTTAATGATGTGTTATAATCCCATACCTCTGAAAATACTAATCTTTTTGGGCGACTTATTATCCTTCAGGGGAAATTTATGCTATTGCCATTGTGCCCAGTCAATATGTGGTCTCTGTTTTTCTTTATATTCACTGGTTGGACCTTATAGTTTACAAAATACTTCACCCTCAATATTGACTGGGTGGTTCCTGATATAATACATTTCACCCTTAATATTTACCGGTACTTTAGTTTCTAATATTGGTTGCTAATGCAGGATATTTCTACCTTGTAAATTGGCTGGCTATAGTCTCTAATACAATTAGACCAGATGGTCGAAAAAAAATAGTGAATCAATGGTCTGGAGTTTTGTGTCAGCATCCTCGCGTAAAAGACATGAGAATTGCATATGGTAATGTACTGAGGTCATGGAAATAGCCAATCGGTGATGACACAGAATTCTGTGCCGACTTAGATGTAGTTGCATAGCTATTCATCAGACAATTCTCGAGACGAGTGATCCAGGCTATAATAATAATAGATTTCCCTAAAAATATTGACTGAAATTTTTTTTTTTAATTAATACTGACTGGCTCATCTAGAGTACAAGAAATTTCTCTTAATATAGAATCTGGTCATATGGCCAAAGAGTCAATTCTTGATTTACTGAAGGTTCCTAACAAAAATGGGGTGGCTATACTTCAACGCTGCTGTAATATAGTTCTTAAAGACAATGCACTTCTGGTGATCCAGATGCGAGTAGGTTACTAATGTTATGGTGTATTATGTAAAACTATGATTATTTCAAAAGGCATGACCATATCCAGGTTTTGTTCAACTGAAGACAACTCAAGATATCTGATAATTCTCATATCGTACAAAATTGTATAAACCAGATATAAACCAGCTGGATATTTAAAATCACATCACAAAACAGAAACTGTGTTGCACATACCATGTTTAAATGACATTGGCTCAGGCAGACTTAGGAACATGCCGGACAAAAATGACCAACAGTCACTAAATGCAAAAATTATTGACATGCCTATATACATGTTTAATTAAATCGACTACCTTCCTATATATTTAATTATGTTTACAAAATGGTTTAGAATATTCAAGACTACGACACAAGTAGGTCATTTAAAATCAGATCATGACATGCATCAGTAACTAATCATGTGTAATGTTCATAATAAATGTTGAAATCAGTTGCAGGTATACCTAAGAAATGGTTGACATTCAAATTTTGTGATTTTATTGTTTTGACATGTCCATGCAACAGTCAGTAAGCTAAATTTCATCAAAATCAAAAATAACTAAAGACAACACTTGACCCATCATGTATTGCCTTTTTATCAAATCTGTAACAACAAATCTGAGAAAACCTATTATTTGTAACATGTAAATTGCATGGCAAGTATGATGGTATACATCTATCACAAACTGGAGCCAGTTTGAGTGATTTGCCAAGACTTGTTAGAGCCTCTAAATGGCATTCGTTGAAACAAAAAGTCAACTATTTTGAATCTGTTCAGAGAAAAAAAAACGTGCATTGAGATCCCATCATGTTGGAAGTAACAAATTTGAATACAGAATAGAAATGGCAGAAACTTTTATGAAAGTGCAGCACTGAAATAGCAGACATCTGGGTGAATCAGTAAATTTCAGATCAAGCAACGACAAGAAATTGTCTGCATACAATAGCCATCAGAGACGAGATACTTTACATGTCTTAGTGCTACTGAAAGAATCCTTTATCTTCAGAGCATTACACCGAATGACAAACTATTTCAACACAAAGTGTTCAAATGTTACTTAGTTCACTGAATATTCAAGTCAATCAGGCACGTGGGAACATTTGACAAAAATTCTGTCCTACTATTGACATGGCAACTGCAAACAAATTCGCATCCCCAGAATGCTGGCTTGTATTCTTCTGGTATCCTAACCATGTTTTTATCAGTTCTACAAGTTTGACTATCTTCTATTCCGTGACTTTGCTGAAATATACCAGCATTTGCAGCTGCAACAAGCATTTCGCCAAGTACATTGTAAATTCAGCTCCATTTCATAAATTGAAAAGCTCACCTGTTAGTACAAGGGCTAGGAACTTGTTTTGTAACAAGACTAGGTTTTTTATTATTAACATTAGAATAATTTAAACTTTCCTTTCAATGAGTTATTTAGCTTTTGTATATCACTGAATAGAACTGTATTAACTATACAAAACAGCTGGTTTCATCAGACAAACTAATAAAACATAAAAAGCAAAATTCAAGACCGAATATTTAGATTGAGAACCTTAACATTTTTCCAACCACAAGCATGTTGACAAAATGGCCACCAGAGTCAAGACTCCTTGTGCACAGATTCCAAACTTCAGCTTACAATTCTTTTGAACGTTTGAACTGAAATACCTGACCACCAAAGGTGGCATAGAACCTTTATGTACTTTTGGGAAAAGTGCATCATCCTTTCAAAACAAACTTGAAAGTGATTTCTTGATAAACTAAAATTTTCAGTCAAGATAATGATAATGTTGTAACCATGAGTGAATGAAATCTGTTCATGTACAACCAACATTTTGTTCCAGAAATGCAGAAATTGATGAATAATTTCTTTTATCAGAAATGAAATTACAATTCTCCCTTCAAACTGACCGAAAGAATCTGGCTAAAATTAAAAGAAAAAATTATTTTCCCACTATCTGTAAAGGACAACCACAATTTTGTGGACTTGAAAAATAACCTGTACAACTCTGCTTTCTTGGAGATAGCTGCAGTTGGTAGTTTGTTATTAAAGGTGCCCCTTGAATAAATAAATCGACAAATGTTTTTAGTTGGATAATTCCAGTCAGGTGAAAGATCTAAATAGCAAGGGCATAAATCTTGTTTATTGAATAGCCATACATACACATACTAAATTACAACAACTCAAAAGTATGGGGAGGGGCCTACTCCATAGAATAGACAATTGAGTTCTATTGTCATCTCCTATTTGGCATACTATGGTGATATTAACCAGGGGAGCCAAAAAAACTTATTTGTGAGCAGTAAAACGAGACCCTTTGAAAACCCAAAGAAGCAATAATCAAAGCAGTTTTAACCACTCAATTACTGATATATGTAATAAGCACCTTGTATTCGCTTGGCAGAATGGGGGGAAACTCAGAAACAAGCTACAAATACAGACAAAACAAAAATCTATTCATTTTCAAAGGAATTATACAGAACAAAATGTTAATTACTTTTTACAGGAAAGGGGTGCAAGAATATAAAAGAATATTAGCACAGAGAAAACTATGTACCATACAAAAATGTGCATGCCTAGGGCCCTAGGGAAATAGCTAAAAGTAGGTTGGTCATTGAATGAAAGTTAATCAAAAATGAATTTCAGTAATTAATCTATTATGCTATATTTATACTTTTTTGTACAAAAAGGGTCAAAGATTATTCAATGACCAACCAACAACAACAACACAATGTCCAGCCATTCCCCCCAACAATTCTGCAATTGGAAAATGTATTATACATCTCACATTAGGGCTTGGTTTCTCAACATGAATGTATATACAATCAATGCCAAATAACAGTATCCTGGTGTATTGCTGTATTAAGAAAAAACAATTTCTTTCATTAAATAATATCTAAAGATTGTCCAATTAATTCAGCAACAAGAAAATTCCTTATTCACTTCTTATTAGGGCTTGATTTCTCAACATGAATGTATATACAGTATCCTGGTGTAAAGCTGTATTAAATAAGAAAAAAATAATTTCTTTCTTTAAATAATATTCTAAGATTGTCCAATTAATTATACTATTATGTTTCTTCTGTAATACAGCACTATTTCAAACAGTCCGGTGCAAAATGTCAGCATATCTGTTCTCAGCACAGTGTTGAGATAAAGTGGTTTGCAGTAGAACATTTTCTTGTGGCAGCCTATAACAAGATGTGTTGTCCATACATTTCAGTCTCTGAATACACCAGGAGACCATGAGGGGAAAAGAAAGTCGCACAGTTTGAGGACAGGTCCATGATTGGTTGCAGAATGAAAAAACCCAGGTGGTTTCCCATGGAATCATGTCACATTGCATATTTCTGCGTCCATTCTTTTGCAAGATTATTGTATTTTGCGCGATCTGTTTTGTATATACGAGCTATTTCTGGTACCAACGGATCATCTGGGTTCGGATCACACAGTAAAGAGCAAATTGATAGTAATACTGCAAAAAACAAAGGAAAAAAAAACTTCAATAAAGAAGCCATTTTTGGGTAATTTTATTTTTGGAAAATATAAAGCCATCATTTTCTAACACGGCAGCAAAAATTAATTCATGATTTTGACAACAATCACAGAGGACAATGTTACAAAAATTCTTCTAAGTCGAAAAGGTCGCATCACAGATTCATAGATTTAACATTTAATGGGTGCAGCATAGTACATGACCAAAACATAATTTTCCAGCCTTGAAAAACACAGGAAACAATACGAGAATGATGCAGGACTATATAGACATTTAGATTACATTAATGTTTTAGAACCTAAGCCAGGTTGCATCCTCTAGTTGCATAATACTTGAATGCGTTACATAAAAACTAGTTATAGAAAATTGTGTAGTCATTCATCATCTTGATTATAGTAAAATCTCAAAAACATCAGAGGACCTTGTCACTAGAGCGCATTTTGTGGCAAATGTTATACCTGATTTTTCAGTTTATACTTTCACACAGCACAACTGCAAATGATTTGTTTGCAATGCTTTTCTCAATTGGAGATCATGTGATAATATAAACAAATATACATGTAATTGGCTAATATGTGACTGGGATTGTAAAATTACACAATTCTACATGTGCAATTCATCTACACTACTTACCTTTCGATATTGTTAATGCGGGTGACCACTGTGATCTTAAAATATCCAAACAAATACTACCATTACTGTTTATATTGGGATGGTAAATCCGAGTTGTGAAAGACACCTACAAATATACAAGATTGAAATTCAGTATATAGACTACTGGATAACATGTTCTATTCATTATGAATATTTATATATTTCTGTTATTATTCAATGATAGAGTTGTCACAAAGATTGAGTTGTCAATTAAGGAATTGGAACAGAGGCCATCATTTTGTTCATTTGTTTATTCTGACTGACACTATTATAACAGACAGGATACAAACATTTAGCGAGAGAACTGATTCGCTAATTCAAGATGTCGCTAATGACTTTATTATCAATTCAAAGTGGCCGCCAAACAAAGAAATCAACAATGACAAGAGAGATTCACTAAATCAACATTTTGCTATTATGTCATTTTACCACAATTCGCTAAAATTGCATGCCGCTTTTTCAACATGTTTTACAGTATTTTGGGATTCTTTTAGGAATCCTATAAGAATGCTATGCAGTGAGTATGAAAAACAAATTCAACTAATTTAAGTACAAGGAAAAAATGCAACATTACTAAAATTACATCTAAATCACTTAAAGTGGGTACTTTCCAATTAACTTAAGGTAGCGAGAAGGGAAATTTTCACTTTTTTCTTGATTTTTCAAAAATTTATAAAACGGTTACTTTAGACCTTGATACATCACCCCAGGTTTACAAAAGATCGAAATTGCGCAATAACGTTGCTCAAATTAGTGTTTTAAAACACTAGCAGAAAAGACTACAACTGCCGTTTCGTGGATATTTGCATAGTGTTTATCTTTGGAAGGAATTAAATGATAACATCTTATCTGTATACTCTGTTGTTGACGATTCTGATATAACGGGTGATAAGCTTCCAGTTGCAAACAATGCGTGTTTATCTAACGTGAACCTCGGAAATTATTCTGTTAGTCCGAATTTTAAATGCGCGCGAGCGAGCAGGTGGGCGGTGATATTTCGGGGTTTGCGCGGTCGAAAAAAAGCGGAAATTGTCCGGTCGAATTCAACAAGCGGTCGCAAAAGCGAGAGAAAAAGGTGATTGGAAAGCGGAAGCGGGCGGGAGGTTGTGCGAAAGGAGTACTGTAACTTTGCACAACTTTCTTTTAAATCGTTTTATTTCCAGTCAATATTCTATTTTACTAATACATTTTTTTTCT